GGTGTTTGTCTCTGTCTGAGGGGTTGGAGCAAATGCGGTTGTATCGCAGAGCTTGGCTGTAGACGATGGATCGTGTGGTGTGGTCAGGGTGAAAGCTGGAGGCATGCAGGTAGGAATAGCGGTCAGTAGGTTTCCGGTATAGGGTGGTGTTTATGTGGCCATTGTTTATTAGCACTGTAGTGTCCAGGAAGTGGATCTCTTGTGTGGACTGGACCAGGTTGAGGTTGGTGGTGGGATGGAAATTGTTGAAATCATGGTGGAATTCCTCAAGGGCTTCTTTTCCATGGGTCCAGATGATGAAGATGTCATCAATATAGCGCAAGTAGAGTAGGGGCTTTACGGGACGAGAGCTGAGGAAGCGTTGTTCTAAATCAGCCATAAAAATGTTGGCATACTGTGGGGCCATGCGGGTACCCATAGCAGTGCCGCTGATCTGAAGGTATACATTGTCCCCAAATGTGAAATAGTTATGGGTAAGGACAAAGTCACAAAGTTCAGCCACCAGGTTAGCTGTGACATTATCGGGGATAGTGTTCTTGACGGCTTGTAGTCCATCTTTGTGTGGAATGTTGGTGTAGAGGGCTTCTACATCCATAGTAGCCAGGATGGTGTTATCAGGAAGATCACCGATGGATTGAAGTTTCCTCAGGAAGTCAGTGGTGTCTCGAAGGTAGCTGGGAGTGCTGGTAGCGTAGGGCCTGAGGAGGGAGTCTACATAGCCAGACAATCCTGCTGTCAGGGTGCCAATGCCTGAGATGATGGGGCGCCCAGGATTTCCAGGTTTATGGATCTTGGGTAGTAGATAGAATATCCCAGGTCGGGGTTCCAGGGGTGTGTCTGTGCGGATTTGATCTTGTGCTTTTTCAGGAAGTTTCTTGAGCAAATGCTGTAGTTGCTTTTGGTAACTCTCAGTGGGATCATAGGGTAATGGCTTGTAGAAACTCGTGTTGGAGAGCTGCCGAGCAGCCTCTTGTTCATATTCCGACCTATTCATGATGATAACAGCACCTCCTTTGTCAGCCTTTTTGATTATGATGTCAGAGTTGTTTCTGAGGCTGTGGATGGCATTGCGTTCCGCATGGCTGAGGTTATGGGGCAAGTGATGCTGCTTTTCCACAATTTCAGCCCGTGCACGTCGGCGGAAGCACTCTATGTAGAAGTCCAGTCTGCTGTTTCGACCTTCAGGAGGAGTCCATCTAGAATCCCTCTTTCTGTAGTGTTGGTAGGGAGACCTCTGTGGATTAGTATGTTGTTCAGAGGTATTTTGGAAATATTCCTTGAGTCGGAGACGTCGAAAATAGGATTCTAGGTCACCACAGAACTGTATCATGTTCGTGGGGGTGGAGGGGCAGAAGGAGAGGCCCCGAGATAGGACAGCTGCTTCTGCTGGGCTGAGAGTATAGTTGGATAGGTTAACAATATTGCTAGGTGGGTTGAGGGAACCATTGCTGTGGCCCCTTGTAGCATGTAGTAGTTTAGAAAGTTTAGTGTCCTTTTTCTTTTGTAGAGAAGCAAAGTGTGCATTGTAAATGGCTTGTCTAGTTTTAGTAAAATCCAGCCACGAGGAAGTTTGTGTGGAAAGTTGTTTTTTTATGAGAGTATCCATTTTTGAGAGCTCATTCTTAATCTTTCCCTGTTTGCTGTAGAGGATCTTGATCAGGTGATTCCGCAGTTTCTTTGAGAGCGTGTGGCACAAGCTGTCAGCATAGTCTGTGTGGTATGTAGATTGTAATGGATTTTTTACCTTCAGTCCTTTTGGTACGATGTCCATCTGTTTGCATTTGGAAAGGAAGATGATGTCTGTCTGTATCTGTACAAGTTTTTTCATGCAGTTGATAGATTTCCACTCTATACGGCTAAATGCAGTGCCTTGCATAATGACAGGTTTCAGAGTAACAGCCGTGTTAGTCTGTATTCGCAAAAAGAAAAGGAGTACTTGTAGCACCTTAGAGACTAACCAATTTATTTGAGCATGAGCTTTCGTGAGCTACAGCAGAGTTTCAAGTTATAGTGCCCTTTAATATGCATTTTTGGTTTAGTATTTTAAAACCCATTTTCCCTAAAAAAAAAAAAAAAAAAATTTGAAAAAATGCAGCACTGCAGCGAAGATTAAGCTTATGCTGAACTGTGTGAAAGGAGGTACTGAAGAAAAATGGTCCCCAACACAGTAGTGATCCCTACTACTGATACCTTTTGACTAACCTTTCTCAGGGTTTTGTTTGTTTTGTTTACGTTTAGTAGCATGCAGTGGTGATTAAGTTGTGACTGTTCAATTGTGAACAAATTATCTCCTATAACAGAGGTGGGCAAATTATGGCCCCTGGGCCATGTCTGGCCCACGGTACCGACCTTCCTGGCTGATGAGCTCCCAGCTGGGGAGGCTGTCCCCTGTCCCCCCTCTTCTTACACCCACCCAGGCTTTCCAATAAGCTTGTCCTGCTGCAGAGCGGCACAGTAAGGGGGCGGGAGTAGGGGGGGTTGGATAAGGGGCAGGAGGTCCTGGAGGGTAGTCAGGGGCGGTTGGATGGGGTGGAGGTTCGGGGAGGATGGTCAGGAGACAGGGAGCCGGGGGTTAGATGGGGGTGGGGTCCTGGGGGGACAGGGATGGGGGTCCCAGGAAGACAAGGGGTGGGGGTGGGGGTTGGATGTGTCGGGGGTCCTGTGGGGGTGTGGAAAGGGGTTGGGGCAGTCGGGACAGGGAGCAGGGGGGGTTGGATGGGGGTGGGGTCCTGGGGGCGGGCGGTTAGGGGCAGGGGGTCCTGGGAGGAGACAAGGAGCGGGGGTTTGGATGGGTCGGGAGTTCTGAGGGGGGCAGGGAGAGGGCCGGGGCCAGGCTGTTTGTCGAGTCACAGCTTTCCCTACCCAGCCCTCCATACTGTTTTGCAACCCCAGTGTGGCCCTCGGGCCAAAAAGTTTGCCCACCCCTGTCCTATAGAATTCTGCTGGAAGACTTATTTTGAAAAATTAATTTTAATATTTGCCCTTTTTCATACACGATGAGGCTGTGTTGTCTTCTGAGATGAAGATAGCAAGGCAAAAACAACACAAGAGAGGAAGAGTGGGAATTGCAACCTGCATTAGAGGCGAAATGACCCCTGTAGGGCTGCAAATGGTTGTTTTAAGGGTCAAATACTAGTAGAGCACATTGGGAAAGATTGTGAGCCAAGCTGTCATGGAAAAAAAGGAGCTTTTGGGGACATGGGCTGAATTTCCACATTTCTGAAAGTCGGTGATGTATGACACAGCCTGAGATTTCTAGAACTGCAGCACAGAGTGCTGTTTGAGCATTTATGTCTGATATCTTGTTGATATAATAAATATTCAACTCCCTCCGTTGTTTCTGTGACTGACGTTTTTCACCATATTTTCATGTTAGCTATAGCTTATGGAAATAACCAAATAGGAAGAATGTATTTATGTGGATAATAAATAATTGAACCAATCAACCACTGTTTTGGCTTTTAGTTATACTTCCAGTTACAGACATCAATATGTTTTCAAGTGTGTGGAATTTTTTTAAATAAATGTATCTGTTATAAGAACTCAAGGTGGCAACATGTAAATTGCATGTCACTGGAGCAAAATATTATGTTTTGAGTCTGTAAATTACATTTACAGAACAGATTATGTTTGAATTCCATAAGCTCCATAATTTGGGGAAGACGTTAACCATTATATCACAATAGGGTTGTGTCCTGTACTGGAAGTTGTGTCGAAGCTATCCATCTGGGTCCACCTAACAATCAGGATCTACTCCATTGATTTCTCCAAAATATTTGGCCTCCCCAAAATGATGACAGGTTTAGAGCTGACATAGTTAGTAATTTCTGAATATTTATAAATATTGAGAGGTTTTTTCCCAGGTGTTTATTAGTCTGATTATTTGGAAGGCTCTTACATATTAAGTGTAAATATTCCTGTAAGTGGGTTACTTGTACTTTAACCATGTGGAAAACCAAGAGGTACAGATACCTCTTGGTAAAACTCGAAAATGTGGAAGATTTATTTCCAAATGTGCCTTTTTGGCCTTTATTGAGGGTGTGAAACAAACCTATTCGGTGGCCTTTTTTTGGTGTTAGTGTCGCTGAATTATATCTGTTATATTCCACATGCAGTCTTGCTACTGCTTCAGACCCAGATCCTCCAGCTGGTCAACAGGGAATCCACTTGCATATACTGCGTATGGAAGGATTATAGAGAAGGACTCTGATGCTGCATGATGTAGTACCTCTCCAAATGCAGCTGACCTTGGCATAGGCTTTTCTGACTGTATTGCAAGTGTATCTGAAATTTGTCTGTTATAATATTCTAGTTCTTTAAAAAAATTCTACAGCTTTTTAGGAACCTTCCTTTCCATTAAATATCTTTCAAGTGAATTATATTTTCCTTGATGCCTTATCTTCCATTTTTCCAGGCAAATTCTCATTTCAGTTTACCATATTTTTATTATTGCTAATCTATTTTAGTGGCTGTCCTTTTTCCTTTAGTGTGACAGGTGGCTGTACTTACTGAAAGAAAAAAATTTTTTTTACCTGTTAAATTGAAGAAGCATGTCTACCAATTCAGGCCTTCCCTGCAAGACTTCCAAAATAAGAAGAATGTGATTTAAAAAAAAACTAATATTTTCCTTTCAGTAAAACTATATATTACTATATAAATCATGTTAGTTATTGCTTTGTAAGTATTTGTTCTAGAAAGAAATCTCAAGGACTGTTCTTCCTTCTCTTGAGCAATCCCAGACAGATCATTTTGAAACTACTTCTAGTTCACAGAAGAGAAAGATATCAAACACCTTAGTGTAATACAGTGGTGGACATGCTGCTTCAGAGAAAATAAGCTAACAGATAATTTTTTTCTTTCTAGTTAAAATATTTCTTCTACTGTATACATTTGCATCTGTGATCCGAATTCACATACTGTTCTCAGAGCTACATTAAGGGACACGTGTAGAGAAGCAGGTTTTTGGATGTTAGAAACTAACTTAATATTTTGCTTAACAGGTTACATGTCTTGCGTGTGACAATAAATCAAATACTATAGAATCCTTCTGGGATCTGTCGCTGGAATTTCCTGAGAGGTATCATTGCAATGGGAAGGAGATGGCTTCTCAGTATCCATGCCTGCTGACAGAAATGTTGGCCAAGTTTACAGAGACGGAAGCTTTAGAAGGAAAGATATATGCGTGTGATCAGTGCAACAGTGAGTAAAGGCAGTATGTACTCATGCATATGTTCTCCACATAAAATATAAATTAATATAGGCATTAAAAGCATAAGAAAAGGAAAACAGCAGTTAAAAAGAAAGCAAGACAGATTTTAAAAGCATCTGTCATATAAGTAAACATAAGACTTTTACATAAGACTGTTTAATTGTGAAAGGAAATAGTATAGAAAAATCACTCTTCTGATTCAGTGCATCAAAAGTAGGCTTGAAAGTGGGTTTAAGAGCTCAGATTAGGTCTTCAGGCCAACTACTGTTGTTTTTCATTAGAAGGTGGTCTTCAAGAAGAGATAAAAGAAACCTGTTGAAATAAGTCTGACACTATTAAATTAACAGACTGTCTGCACTTGGTCCTGATGAAAATAGCTGAACTGCTGTATATATTTTCCAACATTCAGTTGAATAATCCAGATGTGTACCAAAAAAGAGGCATTTTGCATGCCCAATAAGCATAAAATAATCCTTGCCAAATGGATTCCAAAAAGCTCTTATTAAACTGATGATATATTAATAAAAAGAAAAGGAGTACTTTTGGCACCTTAGAGACTAAGAAGTTTATTTGAGTCTCTAAGGTGCCACAAGTACTCCTTTTCTTTTTGCGAATACAGACTAACACGACTGCTACTCTGAAATCTGTCGCTATATTAATATATTCAGTAGCCTTTGTTACATTATCTAAATACTCTAAACCATGGGATCAATAAATCTTAAAATGAAACATAAGGATATTTGACAACGAATTTTCGAAGCTGTATTCAATAGGTTTTTTTTTTTTTGTTAGTGGTAGGTTTTTTAAATTTAGCACTTATTTCATTGTGTGTGTTTGGTCACAGCAAAACGCAGGAAATTTTCTTCCAAACCAGTTATACTTACAGAAGCCCAGAAACAGCTTATGGTGTGTCGACTACCTCAAGTGCTGAGACTACACCTTAAACGGTTCAGGTAAGCAGTGCTATAAGCAAGTTAGAAATGTTGCAAACTCTCTTTGAATAGTATATTCCTCCTTGTTCCCGTAGTCACTAATCCTCTGGGCTCATTCAGTGCGTGAACTAAATCAGTTTTTGAGAAATCCCTCTAAATTATCTTCCTTGAGAATGCCCTTAAACTCAATAGTATAAGGAAGAAAAATTTCTGGAAACCCATTTCTTCTTGGTAAATAAAATAGTTAGAATGCGTATCACAGGCAGAGAAGTGAGATTTTTATTCCTGCTACTTCCCAATAATAAAAAGTCAGGAGAATTAAAAACCTATCCTGAATCTTGAACACTTAACCAGTTTGAGACAAGAGAATCAATTTTCTCTATTTGAAAGAGACTTTTGTGGATACCTTTCTGTATACTGTACACAGAAAGGTATCTGTCACATGAAGTATCTCTGATATCTTGAGAAAACAAAAACCTACAGTTCATTGTTTTGAGTTGTGGACTGAAACTGGTACCATGCGACTTTACTAAACGTTGAGAGATCATAGCAACAAACTTTATTTAAAATAGATGATAGCGTTATTCACTAATGCACAGTCTAAGGTTTGCATGCAACCCACCAGGGTGATTGTATAACCTGCAGCTTCACTGACATTCTTTAAAAACCCTTATCTAAATCTGGTAAAGTGTGCTAACATGAGCAGCCAGGGAGAAGAGATTGCATCTGTATGTTGTCTTAGTCCAGCCAGGGGGACAGAGTGACTCCTGAATGAGGAGAGAAATGAAAGTGTGAACCAGCCTCTGGGGTGATCTGTTTTCACTTTTAATGTACAGAGTCAAATCTGTAATAAGTCTCTGCAGCTTCTGCATCATTCTTGTGATTTTAAATATTTTTTGATAATTATACGCACTGTCTTTCAGCTTGGGTGACTAGTGAGCACAGGAGAGCAGGCAAATGTGAGGAGGAATATTTTGGAGGCTGAGAGCAGCAGATAGTGTAGGTGAAAAGCCGTATGTGAAGGATTTTTCCCTATGAATGTTGAAATGAAGGGGTAGTGAAAGAGGAGATTAGTTAAGGGGGAGCTTCTGAGGGATATAAATTAGCATATACATTTAGTACAAAAGCACTAGCAGGTGAGATGGTTTAGTAGCTCAGAATTCTATCTATGCAGAATTTATATGTGCATAGACTCACTGAAATTATCTATTAAACTGCCTTCAGAAAACACAAATTAACTGAATAATATTCACATTTTCTTTAAATTTTGATATTTTTCCAGGTGGTCGGGACGCAATCATCGTGAGAAGATTGGAGTACATGTTAGCTTTGATCAGATATTAAATATGGAGCCTTATTGCTGCCGGGAGTCCCTGAAGTCCCTCTTACCTGATTGCTTTATCTATGACTTGTCTGCTGTGATTATGCATCATGGGAAAGGATTTGGTTCAGGGCACTACACTGCCTACTGCTATAATTCAGAAGGAGGTATGGACAAGCAATTTAAATCAGAAATGGTTTTTTTGTTTTGTTTTTTTTCAGAAGCTACGCTTCTGGTTCCTTAGTTGAATCAATGTAGCCACAACAGGATCCTTACTTTCTTAAAATAAAATGGACCAAGATTTTACTAACCAGACCTACCAGTACCAAAATAATTATAATGATATAGGTGGTCAATAAAATTAAAGCTAATTGTTTCAACTTATGAGAGAATTTTTTTCATGAAGATTAGACAAATATAATCAGGTGGTGTATACAGCAGAAACATTTCTTATAAAGTATGTGATAGACAATTGTTTCTCTGTAAAACTAAGTGCTTATTCTTCACCCAAAATGAAAAGATAAAATTAGTGAATTTTTGTGTTTTTAACAAATGGTAGCAGACACGTGTCACCTGTAAAGTACAAGTATCTTATATAAATATTTTGGTTATTTTACAATGGTCTGTTACTTACTTCATTCTAGGATTCTGGGCACACTGCAATGATTCCATACTCAACATGTGCACTATGGAAGAAGTATGCAAGGCTCAAGCCTACATCTTGTTTTACAGCCAGCGAGTTACTCAGGCAAACAAACACTGTAGAATATCATTTCCTAGCTCACCATCTGAAAACCAGCAGTGTACTGAATTTGTTGACTGTTCAAGTGAAAACAGTAGCAGCTAATCCAAAGCCAATTTACTGTGTACAGTAAAAGTTGACTTGTCAACTTTTATGCGTATTTTTAAAGAGAAAATGCAAGTACAAATTGTATTTTTTTACTTGTGAATCAATGTACATTGTTTATACACTTTTGTATTAGCTAAAGTAAGCACTCTTAAGTGTTAGTATAAATTTATATGGATGGTAGGTAACTTTCAAAGTACCTAGAATTGCTTTACAACTTTTTTTAAAAAAAATTTCCCTTTGAATTTTTAACTCTTACCTCAGGCTGTTTTTCAGCACTGTTTTTATATTTTGATAATCTGATTTGGTTTAGAAAAAAATACTCTCGATGGACAGCTGATGTCTGTATAATTTTCGTTAACTTTCTACATGTGTATGTTTTTATAGTATAATTTTATAGCATCTATTGATTCTTACTGTCTCTGGGAATCAGTCTTCACAGAATATGAAGGTGCACTAACAAAGAAAGCCTCTATTAAATGTCAAGTAATAAACTTTTCTTCAGGGGGGGAGGGATTTTTTTTCCTGAATGTCCTTCAAGTGATGGATAAGCTAGACTCAGATCTACAAAACTGCTACTGAACGCTGAACGTGCACATGGGTGTGTCCATCTGCTGCCTAAGCCCTAGAGCAATTCACAAACTAAGAATGAGAGGCAGTTGGCTGCCTAAATGGCATAGTCAGAGGCCACCTACCAGATTCAAAAATGGGGGGGAGGGAGGAGACAGGTGGTAGTGCCCACCTTATAACTTGTAACCTGGGCTTAGAGCACTTGTGAGATGTGAGACACCCAGGCTCAGTTCTCCATTCTGCCTGAAGAGGAAAAAGGATATGAACAGAGAGTTTTCTACCTTCCAGGTGACTTCTCACCACTGAGCTGTGGAATTATGGGATGGAGCTGCTCCCTCCTGTTATTGTTCCACTAGGTGTAAATAAGGAAAGAATGATTGGAGCAGAGGGACTGGACTGGACCAACAGTCTCCCAGCTCAGTGCCCAAACCCCTGGTCTACAGACTCATCCAATGAGGATAAATATTGGCAGAGAGTGGGGAATTAAACTTGGGTTGCTCACATCCCAGACAAATACCCTAACCACCTAAAACTTTAAGGTAGCTACCCCCAGCAGCAATCATTTTGTGTGGAGTGAGGCAGGCACCTAACTCATTTCCCTCAAAAAGTTTCTTAGGTTCCTAAGTCAGCTGCCTCCAGGCAGCAGGTTCCCCTTTGTGGATTGCAAAGCAGTGCCTATCTCTAAGAGGAGCAGGGCTTAGTATACACCCATCTGGGCAGCACCTACCATGCTGGCTTTTGAGGATCCGTGTTATGGTTTTCTAGGTATCTAACTGTTAGGCACTGTAATGCTAGGCATTGCAACAGCCAAGTGCCTTTGTGACTCCCACCTGTAGTCACTGTTTTTCCCCAGTGGTGCCTATGGAGCTATACAGAAAGGAAAAAAAGATTATAGTGTTTTATTTGTGAAATGTCCAGAGGAAAACAATAGCATATGTGCTTAGTTACATGTCAGTGCATTAGTGATAGAAAAATGTAATAGAGCACAAATGAGGGCTAGGAGATAAAACATGAAGGTTACTTATTTTACATCTGTGATGCTAAACCTAAAGTGTTAATTGGGTTGCTACTCTTGGGGAAATTCCTTAGCTACCAAAAAGATTTCTCTTGCCAAACTGGAAAACGTGAGCCTAGTTCCTTAGAAAGGTAGCATTCCTTCAGTAATCTCTAGCACACATGAATAAAGCACCATAGTTAGTTGAGCAAAACAGGTTGCATAAAACACAACTGGAGCCTCTTTAAATTTGGATGTGTTGTGGGAGCCACACCTGCCATACTTACTGCTCCTTTATTTCTAAACTAGTATTAACAGAGAATTCACCTCTTCCTCATTGCCTAAAAAACTGAATATTTCCCCACCAATTGTAGGTAATGCCAAAATTGTAACGATTAGTTTAAGTTGGTGTGAAGTGGTTTTTTTCCCATAAAAACCTATGCAAATTACCTCAGTTCTTGGAAAATTATACCTCAATAAAACACTGTGTGGACTAACATTTTTTACTAGGGTTAGTTCCTTATCTCCTTGATTGATATAACGTGTTGCTATTATAAAATAGTTCTTTATGTTGGAAAACTATACGAAACATGTAGAGTGTTACTCTTCATTAGAATATCTTGAGTATGAATCTATAGATTAGACCTTGGTGCAATATTTCATATTTTTTCATTCTGTAGTCCCCTCTCTGGAAACAGTTAACTGCTTACAAGTTTTACACTGACTTTTTAGGGGATACAGCTGATGCTTTTAATGTAAGAGTTTTACATTACTATCTACCATTGTAGTAACTGAGCATCTTCCACATAAAATTGATTGTGTCATGGAGTCTTTGGTTCTCTTGTCTTGGGGTGTTGAGCTCTCCCCTGTATTTGAGAGCACTGGGCTTTTAAATATTTCCTCTAAATATGAGAGGCAGTTTAGAGTTGGTGAATGGTCAAGACCTGTGGCTATCTACCTATACACCAGGTTCTCTGCCTGTTATGGTGCAAACAGAATGGCAGTTTAGTGCTTCATAGGTTTTAGGGTTATTTTGGGGGGGATCCCAGCAAGCAAGAATCTCTTCTCCCCTTTTTATGGAAGGGGAGCCACAGTCTCAGGGCTCTGTGCCACCAATAGAACCAACCACCTGTCAACCTCCCCTCTGTGCTCCACACCCCCATAAAATGAGGACAGAGTAGGCCAAAGGGCTCTTAGCTTTTTTGCTTGCTCTGTTTTTAAAACAACCTTAAAGGGAACTCTGCCACAACTGTTCTCAATATTTTGCCAGAAGAAAAGCCTCACTGGAGTCTACACAAATGAGCCCCTAATAGAGAGACTTCAGTCTGTGCAGGTTAGTCTTCTCCAGCTATTGGGGCTCAAAATTCTCCAGGATTAAGGCCCCAGTCCACCTCAGCCCTTCAGGTTCATTAGTGGGTAACCAAGTGATTTTCATTCTTTCCAGCTCTCCCTTCCAAAAGGAAAACTCAGGCCTCTTTAGGGATTTTCCTTTGCAGTTCTTCCCCAATTATGTGTCAGGCTTCCCCTCCCCTATCCCAAAGTGCTGATAACAGCTTCAAAAGAAAACACCAACCAAGAAAACCCACCCTAAAAGGCAAGAGAAAAAAAACAGAGCTAGTGATATAGGATAGGAGAGGGGTTCCACACAGTGCTTATGACTTCTGCTTAGTTTCTCCCTTAAGGATGAGGAACTCTTGCTTTTGGATCACAATACAACCCGATCAAAGTAGCAGATGTTCTTTCCCCAGGGAGGAAAGTTGTGTCCATGACTGAAATCCAGCCCAAGGAAGAGGATGAGTAATCTAAAGTCAAGGATAACAATTAAACAAACATACAGAATTTGCCACTACATTTTTTAACAGTGTATCTCCTTCCATCTTAAATACTATGGAGCCTGAAAGAATCTGAATCCTTCAATTCCATGGCAACAACTTGGGCAGAAGAGACATATAGCCACACAGGAAGTCTGCAAAGCTGCCACCTGCTCATTCATCAACAACTTTGTAAATCAGTACAGGCATGACCTTCAATTCTCAACAGTAACATTCTTTTGCAAAATGATATTCCAAGTACTCCCAAAATAGACTACTACTAGTTTTAGGGGAGGGATAACACTTACTGCTCAGTACATCTCAACCATGGTGTGCTGAGTGAGGCTTTAGGATCCAGAATGGAAATTTTTTCTTTCCTAATGGCCATTCAGGGACAGACTTTTGTAGTGATCAACTCCCCTGAAAAAATCTTTCAGTCGTTTTGGTTTCTTATATAAAGCAAAGGGAGGTAGTCCCATAACAAGTGCCATGTAAGTGCTGGGCTACATAGATTTATGTATACAGTTAAAGCTAACTAAAGTTACTTGCAGAAGCAAGAATGTAGTGTTACAGTACTAATTGGGAGGTATTCATCTTGGGTGTGGCCAAGCCCCAGAACTGTTTGGATAAGTCTGAACTGCCTCCTATATTCGCAGGGAGACAAGTGTAAAGGGCTGGTCTACTCACTGATTTAGCTACAGTGTATCTTAGAAACTGATTTTAGAAATTACTTTTGCACACAATATCAACTTGAAAATCTGTTCTTTTCTGAATGACTGGAGCCTTGCAGAATTGTCAAATGTGCCAGCACTGTACAAAATCTACTTGGTTACCTTTTACCTTGAATCTTAAGGCTGCTGGTTTGTCATGGCAAAAAGTCACAATTTTAGCTGCAAAAATCCTAAAAAAAAAAAATCACAGCACACTTTTCCAAGTGAATGAAGTGTTTTTACTTTTAAAAATGTACTGAAACATTTCAATTTATAAAACAAACAAAAAAGTGCCTCAAATTCATGTAGGAATAATGCATAATAGAATACTGAAGAAAAGTCTTATAAAAGCGGTATCAGGCCTTGCCTAAAGTAGGTTATGCATTCCTAAATCACATGGTTTTATCTCTCACCTGTCTTCACTCAACACATTTACACATGAAGAAAATGAACATTCTGTAGAAGCACTATCTTGTTACAGGAAGAGAGCACTTTTCATTTTTAAGGAAAGCTAAAAGATGCTCCACAAAATACTGAGTAGCAATGACATTTTTAAATTGCAAAAGCCATGACAAACTTTGATTAACCATAAAGATAACCTAGGTGGTTTTTCCTCACATACAAAAAATATCTGAAGCAACTAGGGTTTGGCAGAGTTTCTCTAACTCCAACCACCACCTGTACAAACCAGACTAAAGAATTCCAGTAATGTTTACAAATCACAGCATTAAAAAGTTTCTCTTAACTCTTTTAAACTTTGTTTTTGTACCTCTCTTGGATTCTGAAGAGTTTTCCATACTGGAGGTAGTACTACAAGATCAAGTTGAAGATTTATAGTGAAGAACTGCTGTTGTGCTAAAGAACTAACCACTCTGCGGTTACTGCACTTTGAAGTTTAATCTTTTTTTAAGAGGCACTATCCCATGCCTAAAATATATTCACTTAAGATACATGCTACAGTATGGGTCAGGTTGCTACATACCTCAGGCTCAGGGAAGCCAGAGTGCTAAAACTGCTACATTAAGCATCAAGCAATATAACCTGCAGTAAAGAGAAGTGTGACATTTACTACTGCTCTTTGAGTATACTGAGTACAAAGTTATTTTAAAAAAAGTGGCCCCCTGCTTCCCAATAGAGATATCAGGGTGGCAGCCCTTAGCAAGAGCTGAAATTTTATGTGACACAAGGCTGACATGCGACCTGCAAGTCTCCAAGGAAATTTTAGATCAACTATGGACTCTTTGAAAGGGTCAGAATTCACCATTCTTACTCAAGTTGAGCAGTACCTTGGGTATCTGCAAGTATCCCACTGGTTTCAATAGGAATACGCCCAAAATAAGGACTATTCAACCTGGTGACAGACTCTAGCCTTCAGACTGTAAGCTCTTTTGGTCAAGAGCTGTCTTTGTGTATTCTGTGAAGTGCACAGAAAACTACCAAACAGTATATGCAAGGCCTTCAAAAGACAACTTTCTGTGTAATTATGTCCTGCTAATTATACACAGTTTGCATCCAGCAGTTCTATGGTTCCAAAATGTGTTTAAACAGGAAGCATTCTACTCAAGCCTCCAAGCCCTCTATAATCCTTGTGCCTGCCATGTTTCCCAGGCAACACTGCCTAATAAAACAGGAAGTGCCTTGCCAGTTTTAGTGCCAGCTCCTTGCTATAGGATGCACAGTAGTGCTAACATCCACTTTCATCACAGTTGTGGTAGAAACTCACATAACGCAGTGGGCCATGCTTGTGTTCTGGGCCAAGGAGACTACCAAACTAATTTTAATTCTGCAAAATGCGATCAGTTTTCTCTCCCATGCCCTACTGTCTCAGCAACACTACTGCTGGTTGAAGTATGCAGCTCAAAAAGCAAGGGTGCCACAACAACAAAAAGCAGCCATATCTGCCCAACAGGGGCACAGCTGTGTCCTGCATCCCTCCTCATGTGGTTTGGGTGTTGGGACAAGAAATGGGGGAAAACTACCTACCCGGTAAGATTTCAAAGTTATTTTCATATGCTTTTAATTGCTCTGGAAATGATCCATTAGAGAAGCTACAGAAAAAAAGAATGATGTCACTTACAGAACCACAACCAGAAGCCATAAGGCTGCCTGCAGAGTCTCAAGCAGAAAATTAATTGACGAGAACGGTATAAGGAAAATCAAAAGGCAGATCTACACTTAAAACATGACAGTGGAGCAGCTGCACTGGTGCTGTGCCACTGTTGCCCTTCAGTGAAGACACCAGTATGCCAGTGGGAGCTTCTCCCGTCGGCATGAGAGGCGGTGGCTATGTTGACGGGAGAAGCCCTCCTGTCAAGACAGCAGTCCACACTGGGGGCGTCAGGTCAGCATAACTGCATCGGTCAGGGGTGTGGATTTTTTATGCTCGAGTGACATAATTTTACTGAGGTAAGTTTATAGTGCAGATCTGGCAAAGCCTTTCAGCCCCAACCCTTTCCCCAAATAAAGCAATAAAGCTAGCTATCCACTGCTGGTACGTTACTAGTACAAAGGCTAAAAGTCTATGGCACCATCTCTGGTCCTGCCAATACATTTAAAAATCACGATTTAGCTGCCCAACAACCCCATCCATCCCACAGCTTCTTTTAAATGCCAATTTTCACTACTGCAAGGTACTCAGTACAGTATGGACAGCATTAGCCAGCATAATGCCATTTTGTGATTTTAAGTTCACAGACACATGCAGATGTTGCTGCCCATTAGCTGGAAATACTTCACAGGATACATAGACTCCAAAGTGGAAACAGATAAACATGAATTAAATAAATGAGTTTATTTCACCCTTTCTATAAGCAACAAATATAAAGTATGGAAAAGTCAGGGATGATTTTGTGGACCTAGTTTCTTTTTGACTTTAGACATTTTGCCATCTTTTGCTCCCCTCCCTCAAAACCGGGGACCAAGAGAGCTGTAGCTCATCTATCAGAGTCCTGGGAGATCAATACACAGCTCCCTTTAAT